CGGTAGGGGAAGAGGCGGTAAAAGGGGACCAACTCGTCAAAGGTGACGTCCTGAGACGCAAAGACACGGCGCGAGGCGGGGTCGTAAAACTGCCAGCCAGGCGCGTCAGGGACAAAGCCAAGGAAGACGCAAGGAATGACGCGAGGGGAGAGCTTGTCCGCGGTGGTATCGCGGACAAAGGCACGAGCACCCCAGACCCGGAAACGCGACGCGTCGCCAACCTTCCCCGTCCACAGCAGTGTGGGCGAGGTCTCCGGCAAGGAGACACGGGGCCAAAGAATGAGCTGATGCGCGGCGTACCGGACCGCAAACGGCCACAGAAAATGGGGGGCAGCCGCATGGATCATGGAGGTACGAGCGACCTCCATGACTAAGCCAATGCGGCGCTCAGCAACCCCATTCTGCTGAGGAGAGGCCGGAAGCGTGAAAGTCTGGCAGATGCCGTGCTCCGCACAGAAGGCTGCCAAGAGGTCTGAGGAGAACTCACCACCTCTGTCAGAGTGCAGACGCAGGACAGGAAAGTCCGACTAGAACCGCTCGCGGAGCTGGAGATGAGTAGCGCGGATCCTGGGGATCAAAACATCAGGGACATCCCCCTTGCGCTGCAAGGGGAAGACCGTGGTGTAGCGCGCATAGTCGTCGACAACCAGCAGGAAGTACCGCTCGTGGCCCTGTCCACAGACGCGGGCTGGGCCCCACACGTCCAGGTGGAGAGTCTGCAGTGGAGCCTCTGTGGGAGGGAACGAGGAGGAGTGAGGAGCGGCGCGCTGCCGCCCCTCGACGCAGGGAATGCAGGGCGGCGCAGGCGAGGGAGGGAGGGGAGGCAGAGACCTGGGAAGCCCAGAAACCAGGAGGCGGGAGTGCATGCTGCGTAGGCGAGGCAGGGAGGGGTGACCAAGGCGGTGGTGCCACAGGAGAGTGTCGTGCGACAGTCGGTGACACTCACACTGTGTAGCTACCTGAGCAGACGCGTGCAACTGGGGAGACAAAGGGACGGAGCGTGACGCAGTGGTGAGGGTGTACAGACTGGACCCCGGCGCACGAGCGAACGTGGCCAGGTGGCGACCAGTCTGGGAGCACGTGCAAATCGCCACACGCTGCCGGCCAGGGGTGAAGGTGTCAACCCCCGCATCCTGGAGGACAGCGTTACTCACCAAGTTCGTAGAGAACGAGGGGAGGTGGAGACCAGACAGCTCACCAGACGGGACCGCCGGACACGGAAGCACAGTGGAAGACCGTGCAAGCACTGGGCCCCCAGAGGGGTCAGCCAGTGAGACAGGAACAGGTGCAGGGAGGGGAGTGACTGTGGTACTGTCGCGAAAGAAACAGCGGGAAGCACCAGAGTCAAGTGTAAAGGTGTGCAAAGCCTGTGCAGGCGCAGTACCAAGGGGAGCAGACTCACAAGCACCTAGTGCTGCAGGGGCTATACCAGGGGTTATACCAGGATCCGGCGGCACACACAAGTAGCAGTCACCCTCAGCACTAACAGACAAGGCATACATAGCAGCAAGAATTGCCTCATAGTCAAGATCAAAGATAGGTACATCACGCCTAAGCAAGTCTGCCCAGTTGGGGAACTCAGTAGCATCAGGAAACTTGGCGCGCCAGGCGTCGCTAAGCCGAGCGAAGCAGCGCTGCTCAGTGTGAAAACCTGTGCACTGGCGACCAGCGCGGGGACCTGTGCGGATGATATAGGGGCAGCGACCAGGACCCCCAGAAGCCCCACGCCCGGCATACCAGTCAAGAAGCTGCTGGGAAGTGGGGGTCTGGCGCTGACGCTGATGCTGCTGCTGCTGCTGCGGCTGCTGCTGCTGCTGCGGCTGCTGCTGGCCCTGACCACCACTGCCACCACCGCTCCCTCCTCCCCCACCTCCGCTGCTGCCGCCTCCACCGCTCCCAGTGCCTCCGCCGCCCCCACCACCACCTCCACCGCCTCCACCCCCACGACCACCCCCACCACCGCCTCCACCTCCACCACCTCCACCACCTCCACCCCCACCGCCCCTGCCACCCCTGCTGCCCCTGCCGCTGCGACGCTTCCCACTGGGAGCGGAAGCAGCTCCGACCCCCTCAGCACCAAGGTAGTCGTGAGCAGCAGCTGCGGAGGCGTAGGAGGGGGTGAGAGGGGAGGGGGAGCACCCCTCAAAGAGGGGAGAGCGAGGAGTGCCACAGCGAGGATGTTCTTCTCTGCTGCGAGGAGGTGCTTCTCGAAGTCATCTACAGTGAGAGTGGTGGGGTCTAGCGCTAGGAAGTGGTCCCTGACAGAGCTAAGAGTGTCAGGGAGGCGGGTGACGAGGAAATAGAGAGTGAAGTACATCGGGGGGGGATTTGCGGCGCAGAACTCGGCTGAAAGGGCGGCACAAAAGCGAGAGTCAGTAGCGCGCAGGTGAGAAACTAGGTCCACAGCAGTGGTGAACGAGGAAAGATCGGGGAACAGGTACGGTAGCATGAGTCGACCTATGGCTGCAGTGGCCGGGGAGGAGTAGCGCGCAACTACAGCGTCGTACAGTGTCTGAGCAGTTCTGTGCTGGCTGAAATGCGCTCGCTCAGTAATCGGCAGGTGGTTCCTAATAGCTAGACGTGCAGCAGCATCACGAGTCTGCCACTGGGAGCGTTCTAGAGCAGGAGCATCAGCAGCAGGAGCAACGGCAGAGCCAGAGACGTAATCAAACAGGGAAACGCCATCTTTGGCATCAGTCAGAAGGAACAGTTGGAGATCGTCTAACCATACACTGAACTCGATGGGACGACCGTCAGGCTCGAACGCTAGAACGTTAGGCGTCGCCATATTGGCTTAAGGCAGGAGGTAGCAGGCAGCAGGCAGCAGGCAGAGGCAGCAGGTACCAAGTAGGAGGCAGGAGGCAGAGGCAGGAGGCAGGGGCAGCAAGCAGCAGGCAGAGGCAGCAGGCACCAAGTAGGAGGCAGGAGGCAGAGGCAGGAGGCAGGGGCAGCAAGCAGCAGGCAGGCAGGAGGCAAGCTGCAGGCAGGCGGCAGCAGGCAGCAAGCAGGCAGGCAGGCAGGCGGCAGGCAGGCAGCAGCAGGCACCAAGCAGGCAGGCGAGAGCAGGCAGCAAGTAGCTGGCAGGCAGCAGGCAGGCAGCAGGCAGGTTGCAGGCAGGCGGCAGTAGGCAGCAAGCAGGCAGGCAGGTAGGCTGCAGGCAGTAAGCAGGCAGGCAGCAAGCAGGCAGGCAGGCAGGCGGCAGGCAGGCAGCAGCAGGCAGCAAGCAGGCAGGCGAGAGCAGGCAGCAAGTAGCAGGCAGGCAGCAGGCAGGCAGCAGGCAGGTTGCAGGCAGGCGGCAGTAGGCAGCAAGCAGGCAGGCAGGTAGGCTGCAGGCAGTAAGCAGGCAGGCGGCAGCAGGCAGGCAGGCTGCAGGCAGGCGGCAGCAGGCAGCAAGCAGGCAGGCAGGCAGGCTGCAGGCAGTAGGCAGGCAGGCGGTAGCAGGCAGGCAGAAGGCAGGCTGCAGACAGGCGGTAGGCAGGCGACAAGCAGGCAGGCAGGCAGGCTGTAGGCAGCAAGCAGCAGGCAGGCAGCAGGCAGGCTGCAGGCAGGCGGCAGCAGGCAGCAAGCAGGCAGGCGGCAGCAGGCAGCAAGCAGCAGGCAGGCAGCAGGCAGCAAGCAGCAGGCACGCGGCAGGCAGGAGCGGCAGGCAGCAGGCAGGCGGCAGGCAGCAGGCAGGAGCGGCCTGAGGGCTGCGTGTGGCGGCTTGCTGCACGAGGCTGCAGGCTGCGCGTGGCTACGGGCAGCGCGTGCGGCCGCAGGCTACGCGCGGCGACGGATTGCGCGAGCTGCGGGCTGCTTGCAGCTGCGGGCTGTGCGTGGCTACAGCGTGCGCGGCTGCATTCTACGTGCGGTTGCGGGCTGCGCTGGGCAACGGGCCGCACGTGCGCGGCTGCGGGCTGGTCGCTACGCTACGGGCTACGCTGGGCGACGGGCCGCGCTGGCGTGGCCTAATCAGGTTTCGCACGGGCGGCTTAAGGGGCGTACAGGCGGGGCCGAAACGGGCTAAGCGTGCTGCTGAGACGGCGCACGTGGGAAAAAAAAAGGACCGCCCGAGGCGCGCGCGGGCAGCCGAGGCGCGCGTAGGCACTAGGTAAGATAGGCAATCGTGGTGGGCCCTAATCGTAGGTCCTAAGGACCTATGCTCTATACCATGTCATAATCTTACGGGAAAAGTTGTCTCGACTATCGAGGGGAAAAGATACAAAGGAGAAACCTAAGGGGTTGTACCCCACAGTGAGTACCCCACTAAGCCTAACCAAACTATAACAAATATACACATATGTTTGACAGGTGGTACCATATGCGCCGCCACAAGGTGGTACCGTATGCGCCGCCACAAGGTGGTACCGTATGCGCCACCACAAGGTGGTATGAGCCGCCACAAGGTGGTATGCGCCGCCACAAGGTGGTATGCGCCGCCGCCACAAGGTGGTATGCGCCGCCGCCACAAGGTGGTATGCGCCGCCGCCACAAGGTGGTATGCGCCGCCGCCACAAGGTGGTATGCGCCGCCACAAGGTGGTATGTGCCGCCGCCACAAGGTGGTACGCGCCACCACAAGGTGGTATGAGCCACCACAATGTGGTATCGTATGCGCCGCCACAAGGTGGTATGCGCCACCACAAGGTGGTACCGTATGCGCCACCACAAGGTGGTATGAGCCGCCACAAGGTGGTATGCGCCGCCGCCACAAGGTGGTATGCGCCGCCGCCACAAGGTGGTATGCGCCGCCGCCACAAGGTGGTATGCGCCGCCGCCACAAGGTGGTATGCGCCACCGCCACAAGGTGGTATGCGCCGCCGCCACACAGAGCCCAGCAGCCAAGGCCCGTGCTTGGGCGTTCTTTACTGTGTATGTGCTCCAAGTCGTTGCAGGCTGAGAGTGTGACGTGGTGGGAGGGGAAGGGAGAGGGGGCTATCCATGGTTCTGTATGAGTCTACAAGCCACTGTACAATGGGCTCTTCAAACTGCTGCTTCAAATATCTGCTCTAGATCGCTGTTCTAAAACATGTGCCCTGGAGTGCTGGCCTGGAGTGCTGCCCTACATGCCAGGTAAAAAGCGTGCTTCAGAGCGCTGCTAGCGGGGGGTTGGGGCCGTGCCACGGCAGCCCCAGCAGCCAGGCGAGCTGCTCGAAGCGGTCGGGAGCCGAAGAGCATGAGAGGGCGCGCGGGGGAGAGCGTGGCGCCCGTGGGCAGGTGCAGGGGGCGAGTGGTTGGGCGGATGAAGAGCGTGGGCGTTCCGAATGCGCCCCCTTCTATGGCCGCCTGTGTGCTCGCCTGGGGGGCATTGGGAATTATAGGGTGGAGTATGGGGGTGAGGTACAGGTGGTGACAGTGACACAGCGAGAGTGGCGTGCTGAATTCCACCCTCTCTATGGCCGCCTGGGTGCTCGCCTGCAGGCATGGGGGCATGGATGGGGATAGGGGGTGATGAGGTGGTGCTAGGGGTAGAAGGTGGCATGTGTAGTTGTGGTGGTGCCATGCAGCGCAAAATATCCCAAAACCAGGCAGGTCAATTGCTGTTTGAGGGCCACTATGCCTAGTGCTTGAGTGACCGTGGGTGGGCCTGGCGGGACTAGTGGCAGGGCGGTAAGGCAATGACAGGCACAGTGCGCATGCATGCACTCACGGCTCAACTCACGGCTCAACTCATGGCTCAACTCACGGCTCAACTCACAGTAAGCGCCTGTTTGACGGCAGGTGTGGCAGCAGCAGCCAGCAGCGCGTCCTGGTGGGCAGGCAGGATGCCGGCCTGGCCGCACGCGTGGCGCAGCAACGCCGGTGCTGCGATGTCGGTGCGCGATGGGGTTGCGATGTCCGATGGGGAGGAGGAGGAGGAGGAGGCAGGAGCAATGGGGACTGTATGTGTGGTGGTTGAGGTGAGGTGGGTAGAAGGAGGAGGGCGATGGGGAGGAGGAGCGGTCCAGATGGCTTTGAAGAGTGCGCGTGTGAGGGCGAGCAGCTGCGGCGATTCATGGCCCTGCTCACACATGGTGGCATGGCGGGATGATATGGCATGGCATGGCACGGCATGGCAGCATGGCATGGGGGGATGGCAATGGCGGGGTGGCATGTCATGATGGCACATACATGGAAGCAGGGTGGAAATAGTTGAGTACGCAGAAAGGTTATGGTGTTGAAGATGGGCAGGCAGGGACGCACAGCACAATCCACAGCACAATCCACAGCACAATCCACAGCACAATCCACAGCACAATCCACAGCACAATCCACAGCACAATCCACAGCACAATCTACAGCAGGTGCATGTGGGGGCCAAGTGGGACGCTTTAGAGTCTTTTCACAAGAGACTCGGGCTTATCACAGCAGATAGGATGCAGAAGCAACTCCGAACAAAGGAAAGGCCAGGCTGGAAGCAAAGCGCGGAGAGATTGGGAGACTGGAAATGGGGGTGAAATGACGGGCGAGAGGGAGCAAGCAAGCAGTGGAAGGTGCAGAGGGGAGCGAGCAGCAAGCGACAGGGCACCTGTTGCAGTGCGAGGGCGGTGAGCAGGGCGCTGGCAGCGCAGCGTGGAGAAGCGCGGCGAGCCGAAGCCCGGTGGGGGGGAGATGCGCGGCAGCCGGGCGAACGCTGCTGTGCGCTCCATGTCGTGCTGTAACCACGCTCCTGGTGTGGGGGAGGGAAGGGGGGAGGAGGCACAGTGTGAGGCTGTGAGGAGGCAGGCAGGCAGGCAGACCAGCAAAGGCTGCTGTGCGTGTGATGTCCTGCTGTACCTGTAGCTGGTGGGTGAAAAGAGGGGGGGACAGGGAAGGGATGGGAGAGGCGGATGAAATCCGGGGGTTGGAGAGCGAGCAAGTGTTGGCACGCACGCACTGGCAGGCCACGGCTGCTGTTCGCGCCATGCCCTGCTGTAGCCATGCGGCTGGTGGGGGGGGAGGGGAGGGGAGGGAGTACGGGAGGCGAAGGGGGGTAGGAAGGAAGGGGGGAGAAGGGGGAGGTCGGGGGAAAGGAGAAAAAGGAAGAGGGAGGGGAGAGAGGAAGGAAGGGTGGAGGGGAGGTGCGAGTGATGGCTTGCAGACGGTGGGGTGGGGTGCAGTAGAATGGTGGGTGTTGAGTTGCTTGTGGATTCAAAACGGCTGAGTGCACAACAACAGTGGAGAACTGTCACTCACCTCTGCCAGTCACTCACCTCTGCCAGTCACTCACCTCTGCCTGTTACCCACCTCGAGCGGGCACGGCAGAGGGCATGGCGTTGCCTGTGGCGCGGAGGATAGCTCCCAGCAGCACCGGGCGCAACAGCAGTCTGACGTTCCACAGATGGCGGTACCTGCATGCATGGGGAGGGTGGGGACGAGGGACGAGGGAAAGGGAGGAGCGGGCGCAGAGAGTGAGTTGTGAGTGGACTGGAAGGTTAGCAGCATCAAGCGCAGCAGCAGTTGCAGACCCTCACGTGGTGGTACTTGCATGGGGCAGCGGTGCGCAGAGAGGGGCGATGGCGCTCACAGAACCTCACCTGTACAGAGTGCTCATGGGCCAGCGCGCACAATAAAGGGCTAGCGCGCACAAAAAAAGACCCCAGCAAAATCTAGAAGATTCTGAACAATCTGAAGGCACACCAAGGGTTGACTCCACATGGGAAAGAGGGGTATTCTATTAAATTAGAAAAAACGGCTAAAAAACTCAGTGGACTAAGAGAAAAGGACCTGAGGAGGATTTCGAGCGCCACGAGGCTGTAAGGCGACCCCACGTCCACACATAGCTCCACCTGTAGCTCATCCCCTCCCTCCTCTCCCGCCGCTCCTGCCGCTCCTGCCCCTCCTGCTGCTCCTGCCTCCCGTCCATCCTCCCACTGACTAACCCCACCTTCCTTCCTCTCAGCACTGCTGCTGCTCGTCGCCATGCTGGTCGTGCAGAATGATGCAGTGGCGCGCGGTGCAGTGCGGTGCGGTGCGAAGCCCCTCCGCTCACTCCGCTGTCGCGTCCGCGCCACAGGTAGTAACAGGGGAGATCATTTTGGGGCCTGCCGACCCTTTCCGGCCGAACGGCCGCTTCACGCTGACGGTCCTCCCTGCTAAGGACTCACTGGTATGTATCGTATGCTCACACACCCTCTCGACTCCTTACCAAGTGCCTCTTGCCTCGCAGACTCGTCCGCGGGCGCAGCAAATACGCAGAGCCAAGGTGCTTTGGATCTAGGGCTGGCGCCGTTGAAAATACACGCGGCGCGTTATGATTGGTCAAGGACGGCGAGAAGGAGGGAGTCGCTGGGAGTTAGTGACCGATCGGCACTTTGCCACGGAAGGCAGCAGACGAGATGACAGGCTTGCGTTGTCGCTCAAATCGGTAGTCAATCAGTTGTCGCTTCATGCTCGGCTGCTTGCAGCTCGCTGGCTGAAGCAAAAGCGCGTATTGCCTCGACCGAACTGAACATGATGGAAATGGATGCAGATGCTGGCAAATGTATGAAACGTTGTACAATCTGGCCGTTTGGCGAAAAAGGTCTGAAAGAAGGATGTGGTTACCCGATGTTGAAGTGAGTCAAAGCAGCGCTCAACGACCCACTCGTTTCGCAGCGACGTCCAATTGCCCCGCTTCGTACGTGCGAGCTAGTTTCGCATGTTCTACCAATGAGCCTTCGCGAGTGAAGGGGCGATAGCGAAAGAGTCGTTTGTGTCATTCTTTTGCCAACAGCAACTTCGTGCCTCCGGGTCATCTTCCAGCAAGCCCTGTCACAGCGCCGCAATACCCGACTTCCTCAACGGCGATTTTCCGTTCCATCGCCCGACTAGAGCGTCGAATTAGTTCGCGTGGAATTGCAGACGGAGATATCGCTAGGAACCCGCTATGGGAAGCTAGACGAGGAGCGGATGCCGCTAGGACCCCCGTTGGTTCTTGTCATCGCTTGAGTTCGTCCCCACGCCACCTCCGCGTCTCGCTCCCGTTGGATTCCTTGAGTCGACTTAATCGACGCCAATCACCGCCGCCTGGTATCCTCTGGTTCTGCGTCTCGTCGCCGGTGGTCTCGTCGCCGGTGGTGTCGCGGTGCGCCATGGATTCGTCGGTGGACGATTTGGACGACCTTCTCGAGAGTACGTTACGCTTATTGCCACTCTCCTTAACATGCTGCTCTCAGCCTCCATAGTATACGGATCCGTCAACACGAGCAGTATTCGGCCAAGATTCGCTGCGAACCGTCCAGAATGCATGCAAGTGGTTCTCACACACAAATGAACGGCCGGGATGCATCCTCGCGGCCCCGCGTCGTTCTGCTTTCATCAGTCCCGCCGCTCGTCGCCGCTTTCCCCTTCTCGAGCGCTTTTCCGCCCTAGATCCGCCTCGCGTTCCTCCCACTCTCGCCGTTTCGCTCCTTCTTCCCTCTTTCGGCCCATCGCCCATGGCCCATCATGGTCCCACGTGCACTCGCGAACTTCCGCCGCAGCTCCCCACGCTCTCACTGCCGCATCTTCCAGCCGGACTCACCACTCCCCTCTTCCTCCCCTCCCTCCCTCCCTCCCTCCCTTCCCCCATCCTTCCTCTCTCCCCTCTTCCCCTCCCCTTCCCTCCCTCCCCCATTCCCTCCCTCCCGCCTTCCCACCCTCCCCCTTTTCATTTCCTCCCCACTTCCCGTCCCTCCCTCCCCCCTTTCACGCGCCGCCCGTCTCGCATGCGCCATGCTCCACCCGTCAGGTGCGCTTGAGGACTTTCGTCAAGACCCGCCCAGCACCTGCGGCCCGCCGCCACTTCTGCCGCCACCACCGCCACCAGCAGCAGCGCCGCTGGCCCCGCTTCCCACACACCAACGCCCCTACTGCCAGCTGCCGCGTCGCCTGCCATGCCACTCGCCCTCGGCGCGTCCGCAGCAGCAGGACTCGCCCGCGAGCAGGCACACGTAGGGTCAAGCCCCGCAGCGCCAGGAACAGGCGCAGGTGCAGCAGCGCCTGCATCAGCGGCAGCAGCTCCGGTGGGGCTGGGGCTGGGAGGGGGCCTGCCGTCGCTGCCAGCGAGGAAGAAGAGAAGCGGCGTTGCAGGCACGAGCAAGGCCAAGGCTGCTGCTGCTGGCGACGGTGGTAAGACAAGTGACAGTGGTAGTGGTGGCGGGAGTGCGAGTGGGAGTGGGGGCAGCAGCAGCGGGGGCGGGGGGATATCATCGACGTTGGAGCAGCTGCAGCAGCAGACACAGCGCACCGTCAGTGGCATTGGGGAAGGGGAAGATGCGGCAAGGGGGAGGGGAGGAGCAGTGGGGGGAGTGCCTGCAGGGCTAGGGGCGGGCTTGCCAGGGCTGGGCGGGCTGGGGGGGCTAGAAGGGTTGGGAGGGGAAGGGGAGGAGTTGGATGAGGCGGTGGTGGAGCGACTGGTGAAGCAGTTTGAGGACATGGGCACCCAGGTGAGACCTGGCACCCAGGTGCGTGGTGCGGGCACTCAGCTGCTGTCGCATTTTTGCTGCAAGCTTCCGTCCGTCCTCTTCTCTCCTCAGTGTCCACGTCCCATAAGACACAGGGGCTCAATGGATGCACCAGTCATCACATTCTTCCTCCACCTCTTCCTCTCCCCCCCTTCCCCCACAGCAAAACATGCAGACGCGGTGATGCAGCAGCTGCTCACACAGGGCTGATGAACCATCTCATGAGTCATGCATACAGCCCCTCTTCGTCTCTGCCATCCTCTCTGCGCCCCCCCCCTCTGTGCAGGACATGGCGGGGCTCATGGACGCGGTGATGCAGCAGCTGCTCTCAAAGGACGTGCTGCACGGCCCAATGAGGGACCTCCATGCGCGCTACCCCGCCCTGGCTCGCCGCCAACGCCCGCCTCCCTGCCGCCCGCCGACCTGGCGCGGTTATGAGCGGCAGCAGCGCGCCATCGGGCAGCTGTGCGCGCTGTACGAGGAGCGGCCGGGCGACTTTGAGGCGATCATGGCGGTGATGGGCGACATGCAGGCGTGTGGGCAGCCGCCTCCAGAGATGATCAAGGAGATTGCTCCGGGGCTGGAGATGGGGGCAGACGGCCTGCCTGTGTGAGTGCCGCTAGCTCTTTTGCTTTTCACTCGCTTTTACACTCGGTCCTCTTTCTGTTGATGATTGCTCTCTTGCATTGGATTCGCCTGCCTCTTTCACGCTCCCGCACTCCGTCCTTGCCACTTTGCTTCTGTCTGACTGCCCTCATCTTTCTGTTCTCTTGGGTTCACACCCTCCTCTTGGGTTCACACCCTCATGGTGCTGTTCTCTTGGGTTCACAGCTCGTGGTGCTGTTCTCTTGGGTTCACACCCTCGTGGTGCTGTTCTCTTTGGGTTCAACACCCTCGTGGTGCTGTTCTCTTGGGTTCACACCCTCTTGGTGCTCTTCTCTTGGGTTCACACCCTCGTGGTGCTGTTCTCTTGGGTTCACACCCTCGTGGTGCTGTTCTCTTGGATTCACACCCTCGTGGTGCTGTTCTCTTGGGTTCACACCCTCGGTGGTGCTGTTCTCTTGGGTTCACACCCTCGTGGTGCTGTTCTCTTGGGTTCACACCCTCGTGGTGCTGTTCTCTGGGTTCACACCCTCGTGGTGCTGTCTCTTGGGTTCACACCCTCGTGGTGCTGTTCTCTTGGGTTCACACCCTCGTGGTGCTGTTCTCTTGGGTTCACACCCTCTTGGTGCTCTTCTCTTGGGTTTCACACCCTCGTGGTGCTGTTCTCTTGGGTTCACACCCTCGTGGTGCTGTTCTCTTGGGTTCACACCCTCTTGGTGCTGTTCTCTTGGGTTCACACCCCTCGTGGTGCTGTTCTCTTGGGTTCACACCCTCGTGGTGCTGTTCTCTTGGGTTCACACCCTCGTGGTGCTGTTCTCTTGGGTTCACACCCTCGTGGTGCTGTTCTCTGGGTTCACACCCTCGTGGTGCTGTTTCTCTTGGTTCACACCCTCGTGGTGCTGTTTCTCTTGGGTTCACACCCTCTTGGTGCTCTTCTCTTGGGTTCACACCCTCGTGGTGCTGTTCTCTTGGGTTCACACCCTCGTGGTTGCTGTTCTCTTGGGTTCCACACCCTCTTGGTGCTGTTCTCTTGGGTTCACACCCTCGTGGTGCTGTTCTCTTGGGTTTCACACCCTCGTGGTGCTGTTCTCTTGGGTTCACACCCTCGTGGTGCTGTTCTCTTGGGTTTCACACCCTTGTGGTGCAGATTGCAGCCACATACTGGTATGAGGGACTTCCCGCCGTATTGGCTGCTCTGAGGGAAGAGCACAGCCAGCTTATCTCTTATCAATGCATCGCATCCCCCTTTTCGTCTGGTCTGGATCACAAAAGGCCCTCGCTCATCCTCCTTGGAATCACACCCTCGTGGTCTGGTATGCTGCAGGCTGCCTGACATGCTGCAAGGAGGGGACCTCCCTGCTGACTGCTCTCTCATGTAAAACGGGTGTCAAGGTCCTTTGTAGGATTTGTAACGCCCACCTGATGCATCAGTTGGGTCCTATGTGGTACATTCAAAGTGATGCGTGCCTATTTAGAGTCCAGCAAGTAGCGCTGGCCATGTACCGTAGGTAATAATTCAGACAATTTCAGGAGTGTTCACTGTTGTTAAAGTGATTACCCTTTCATCACCCACACAGCCTGATAAGCTTTTTGCATGCCCTAATTGGAAACCAAAAACAGCATCAATAAATGGGGAAGGTATACCGTATCACCCCGGATAGAAGCGCAGGCCTATTAAAAGCGCATGCGCTTCTATCTGGAGCAATGCGCTTATGCCCGATCCTCAATTATAAGCGCACCCCCTTAAAAAACATGATTTATTATAAGCACATGTTAGTTTTCAAATTGAAAAACTGTCAAATCACTGTAACTAAGTTCACTTTAGGAGGCGATGAGTTGAAAATCAGATTTCCTTCGCGTTCAAACCCTGCACAGGCTGCGCGTCCAGTCAGCAAGTGCTGTCAGAAGTGTTGGGCTGAGAAAAGCCCTTAGGAACTGTTTGGCCAAGATACTTGGCCACCCTCATTCCAACTGCTAAATGCTCCTCATTAGGGCACTGAACAACCC